TCTCTCTCTCTCTCTCTCTCTCTCTCTCTCTCTCTCTCTCTCTCTCTTCCCATACTTCCCAGGCATCGAGTTTTGTTTCTTCACAAATTTATTTCAGATTAAAAAATACAATTTCTCTGCGATTGTTGGAAACAAACGCAGGTTTTTTAGAAGGCTCCTAAATGAAAAAATTTGAAAAAATTTATATGTTAACTTAACGATCGGTTTGATCTCTTTGCTGGGCAATTTCGAAAAATACTGCCACTCGAAAATTGGCTGTATGAAAATTAATTGAGTTAACGCTGCGTCGAAGCGCATCGGCCCGTTCGTGCGGTAAATACTACATTAACGGTCAGGCAACTATAACTGTCATTATACAGAGTGATTCTGGAAAGTGGGGCATACTGTAACTCTCTTCTAATCGAAGACATAAACAATTGATATAAAAAAATATTGAATTCCCACTTAATGGCACAATTCTTTTATTAAGTGCAACGTTACGGAAGCACTATGCACTTGCATTTATTTTTGAAGTGGAATGATTCATTCTACATATAAAAGTTTCAATTTTTTATTATTGGTCCAGAGACCAATGATAATAAAACAAACTCGGCTCTGACTCGTCGAAACACGTGCGATACAAATGGGAACAAATATTATCGTAAATAATAACAACATAAAGTCTGACGTCCTGAATACCAAGAGTGGAAATTGTAATCGTGATTCGTGGCAGGTATACCGATAAAAAAACATCTAGGTTTTATTCAACTTGTTTGGAGAGATTCTGTTGCAATATTCAACGTATGCTTCCCTTATGGCGCGAAATATCAAATAGGGGAATATTCCTTCGAGTCCTTGAATAATTTTATAACGTATTTTTAGATTCATTTTACTTCTGATAAGTGCATTAATATTTATGGACGATGGTGTGCTCTGCATATCAAAAGTTTTGAAACAGTTGCTATATATTTCGCGAATCCGAGGAAAATTATGCAACCGATGATAGATTTGGGGGAATATTACTTCATTTAACGTTTCATAAAGTTAGAACAAAATTAAACAATATTTATCTTCGTTGCAATATCATTCTTGTCGGAATTTAATCGATTATGGTATGTGTGAATTAAAAACATTTATTATTTACATTTTTAATTTGTGTCACATAAACTCATGCATTACACTTGTATATTTGTATTCTTTTCAAATCTTCAGTATTCTTTCTCGTATAATTATACGCAAATGAAAAAAACATGTAGTCACTCGTTCGATAAAGATCTGCAATGTGAACTAACGTTATTTCAATTTATATTTATCGTTCATATTTAATCACTGACACGAGTATGCTTCCACATTACAGCGATGTACCTGCCATTATATTAGATTACAAAAGTGGGTCAGAATTCTTTATCTACCGCAAGTAATAATATCTTTATAAAAACAGAATGTGGTTTACAACTTCTGTGTTGTACTGTATGTATTTACCTAACCCTATATTGCATAAATTTTTTTTCTAGTTCTCCAGATCGTGAAAAAAAATTCATTTTTGATTATGTGCTGCTCTGTGATGTAATTAATATTCAAATTAAATAATAATAACAGAAATTAATCGATAACAGTTTAAATTAATTAATAAAATCTAGGGTAACTCACTCAACATTCCCTTAATAAATATTATAAATATTTTTTTTATTAGGTTTCCATTTCTTCTCGAACCATTCCTGCTTCGATCGATGGAAATGTTGCTCAGTTCGACGACAAAGGCAAACATAGCATCGCCTGAACCGACGTTCGCGTCTTCCGGAAACTTTTTACGTCTGCGAGTCACAATCATCGGAAGTACTTTGGAGAAGACTCTCCTCGCGACATTCTAACGCTCGGAATTACAGCTTCGCGTCCCTTTTGAGCTTCGTGGATGCGCACTGACGCGAACGAGAAATTCTGATAACGTCGATGCAAAGACGTTAACAAATCTGATCAACGGCGAAGTTTTGAACAAGTTAATTAAGGGAAATTAGATCTCTTCCGTAGACGTTCAGAGACTGTAAAAAAAAAGTAGGTACTAGGGATAGGGAACGAATTTCAAACAAGACTATCTGCGAGTCGTTACATTGACATGAACATTGTCTTTTATATTCTTCGACGTCATTATAATAAATTACACAGAATTCTCTGAGGTGTTGAAGACGAAAATTAAAGATTACGCGATATATTCTATCTATTTTGTTTAATAAAGGTAGGACCCAAGGTAGAGAAAAAAACGTTTATATTAAATAAAAATGTTATTAAATTGCATTCAATAAATGTACTTAAATAAACTATATTTGCGTGGACGTTATAAAATATTTGCAGTCATCTTGAGTGCATTAATTTTTCACATCGCATTTCGTAAGAAAAGCCACAGATCGAAGAATGGAGTAACATTCCGCGTACTGTAATGTCCAATTTGGTAAAATCAATGCCCCGGAAACTGGAGGCAATTGGATCGGTTATTCCTGGAACGACACATGTGACGTTTTTCTCAGTTCTTGAAGAAAATAAAAAAAGTACCATTTTATTCCACCAATTCTGTCTGAACAAACCTGTGAAATATCTCTATCCACTAAAAATTGCAAATATTATATTTCTCGTACATATAAAGTTCCTTTTAGAGAATATTCTAAATTCCTTTAAGCAATGTTATACATAGTCTTGTCTAAAGTTCGCGAATTTCTATTCACTGTGATTTAATAAACGAGATTAGGATCATCAGAGCTTTTCGAACGCTATTTTATTAACGCGAAATTAAAAAATATTAATAAGTATTCGTTGCGTTGCTAATAACTTTCGGACAGAAAGAAACACTATTGTTTGCTTCTTTTTCGTTCTCTTGACGTGAAAAGCTGCTTGACGATTTTTCGTCGCCATGTTTCAATTTCACGAGCGCTTTGCTTTAGGAATAATCCAACGCTGCCGTTTATCCGATGTCCTATTCGTTACTTTTGCGATCTCGCTACGTGAACACTTATAACACTGAGTTTCAAACAGTGAAGCACGTTTAGTACAAACAATCGATCGAATTGTAAATGGAACATGGATCGTTTCGTAATCCTACTTTTATTTTCAAAGTATATTATCTTGCAAGCAACATTTAATATTATAAATAGAAAGCATTTTTTGATCAATTTTGATTAATTAATATTAAATAACAAAGGATATTTGTCAATTAGAATTGTTTATAACTATTCGTTAATTTAATCATTAGGATCACTATGTTGATTTTCACGTCTGAACTTTTCACTTGTATTGCTAACTGTTTAATAAAACTTATTACGTTTAAATTTTGTAATATATAAATATTAGGATCATGCGTGTTAAGTTTAGAAACCATCTGGCAATTGAAACAATCTCAAACAAACATCTTTTTAGAATGACGAATTATAAACATTGACAGCGATCAATACTATAATTTTCCAATGATGGATACTTGTAAGTATTATCAAGACATTGAAATTTATGTCGATAAAGTATCTAAGGTATCTATAGAGGATTTATAATAATAAATGGCGTAACAAAGGCAAATTGCACCATAAAATGGCACGATAGCTAAAAATTCCTACCCCAAACTTCCAAAACTCCGTCAAGCCACTATATAACCTGCACTCCGCTTCGTCGACACACTTTTTCAAATTAAAGTCGCCAGGATCCCTCGAGGATCATAAAAAAAAAGTCTAACTTGCCTACCAAATATCAACCAAGTTAAAAATTAAATTCAACCCCATTAGTTCGTCTATATCCTCCAGGGCAAACGTCTTAAACTTAGCCTCGAAGTGTAACTTCGCCAACTAAGTCTGCCGCCCCCTAAAGTCATCGATAATGTAATCTTCTCCCCCCTCAGTACTTAGGCGAGTTTGAGTCCCCAAGAGACTTTCACCATTTTTCACCGATGAATCTCGCGTATTTTAAAGAAATTTTTTATTAGTACTAGTTGGTAATTCTTTCGCTGGCTGTCGCGAAAGAGAATTTTTGATGGAAGACTCACCAGGGCGTTAGAGATCGAAGCGTTTCACGGATCAATCGCAATCATTCGCGCGCATCGACGGCCAACCGAAATGTTTCGCGTTATTCGAGGGTTGCACGATCGGAACGGGACGCGCGCCTCCACGATACTGGCTGCCGTCTCGCGGTATTCGCGTCGCGACGCTTGAACGCAGAGCGCGTACTCGAGACGCCGACCTATCCTAGCCTATCGTGGCCCACGGTCCACGTTTCGACGTCGACATTCATCGGCAAGCATACGCGGCGTATGCTGGCCACGCGTACACCTCAGCTCCGATACGTCTTTTTGGTTCTTTCGTCTTTGATTGATTTCGTTAACAAGTTGGACACACGTGGCTGACACACGTGGCGATTTTTCTTGCTCTATTTTGGGGAGGTTTTTCGAAGAACTTCAGTGTTTGGTCGTACTTGGTCGGGGAAATGGGAATTATTTTGTGATGGTGTATGCGCGGGATCGGTAGGGTTTCGAGTTTATTATGGTTTAGCGTAGACATCCTAGATTAACGATGGGCAAACATTTTTTAACCTGATCGAAATTTCAACAGTGGGAATGTTGAAGTTCAACTCGTTTCTGAAAGATGAAGTATTAGCTGTTTTAACTAATTCTAGCCAATTAGATGATACTTTTAATTGTATGGTACATTTCATTATTCATAGAGAGCAACGGAAGTGAGTTTATCGTTACAATTGCATTTTTCTAATCAACATTTTCTAATAACTAGACCAACCTTATCTTCATTAATTAATGTCCAGTTAGAAAATGTCTACATCAACCGGAAATTAGTCGAGTAATCAAAGTATACATATGTATACAGAACAATATCAGAATGGTCTATCACGTTTATTTAATTCCACGTTATTGTTCTTTCCATTCATAATTCCATTTTAGATCTTCGATTACTTATGTTCGAAGAGGACATACCTGGTTTATCTCAGCTGTTCGTTATCAACACTTCATACATAATGTGTAACCGTATTGACTACATGCAAAGAGGTTCATAATACTGTATTAATCCCTTCAGTCTGTTCTCTGAATAAGATCGGCACGTATCTGACATTACTAACGCAGTTCTGCAATCAGTTTCCACATTCGAAGTAATCTGCAGACTACAGGAATGCATAAATTACACGCATGCGTTTGATGTATGACTCTGCTGATTGCAACGCTGTTCTAGTGAGACAGCTGTACGCGTGTCTAAATACGCCACGTGCGTCTTCCCCTTTGAACGATGCAGAACAACTGTTAAACAAATGAAACTAATTAAAATTTGAACGCTAAATAGTGACATTTCGTGTACTCGAACTTGAAACCTGATGCTAATTCGTATTACCAAGAACATCTCGAAACAAATAAGATGGTAATACGAACGGTGGCGAAAGAGTTTAGAGTTCAAAAGGTTCCTCCAATCTTGCTAGCAAGCTCTTTGTGATTTCTTCTGTCGTCTCGTGATTCTCATACAAAAGGGTATTTCCTACAGAGGAACGAGGTTTCAGACTGGCGAACAATTTTCGACAGACTCGCAAGGGAGTTTTTACCAGTCAGGGAGGAAAACATTGTGTTTTCTAGTCGCAGCTTTTGTTCCACAGGAACGGGAAAGATTTTTTCTGCGAAATAGTTTCACCGCGACAACCGTTCCGTACAGTTCTTTGATTGCTTACGTCATTTCCATACACATTCGTCAAGAGGCGATTGCATTCTGGCTCGACTTATTGGTTGCATTCAACAGAGATAACTATTGAGAGATTCTCTTGGATCTTCTGCTTCGATTCGTCTATTCGTTTCGACTTTTTCAAGTTCAACCTGAAATTCCCACAATTTTCTGTCCTCTTTTCGACCAATATTAATCAACTGTGTGATTGGAGTTGATTGTTGGATTGCTCAATTAAATTGCATCTCTGGAGCACGCCAAATAAAATTTCAAATTCGAATATTTATTCCAGTACTTTTAGGCTACAGAAATAATTTTAATTGAGTATAAATACGATGTTCTGCATATTTATTAAAAATTAGAAAACATGGCGACGTGCTTCTATAATAAAGCAATTTCGTTGGATACATTTTATAGCGTGAAAATCATAATGATGGCATAATTTATTTCCTTCATTAAAGCTGAGTTAAAAGTGATTCTTTCGCGTTTGGGCTAGTTTAATGGGTTTTCCCTGTTCGATGTAATGCACATGATAGATCACATTGAAAAAGAACAACGATGGTAATTAAATAGTCCCCCTGCAAAGTAAATACTCGTGTAATTACGTGACGGTCATATTGTGTGGCGTTAACAGAAGACGCGAAATGGCAGCGTAACGTGTTTGAGATTTCAGGAATACCAACGAACGGTGGTCACGTAATTATAATGGGTGTATCTTGGCCAGAGAGGGCGAAATTATTATCAAATACAAATTTCGAGTAACAAAGAAAAGACGATCAGCTATTTAACCGTTGAATGAAGAATTAGTGGAATTTTAATTACAAGATAAAATATGTATTATTACGTTAAAATCTTTTCAGTCCAGTTCACAAATGAAAATAAAAAATATTTATTGGTTTATACATATATTTTTTAAATTCCATTATTCAAATAAAATTGTTTCTATCTCTGATGTTGATTGCCTGGAGGTTCCGTGCTGTCTGTACCATGGAGTAAAGCGTATGACGGTATGGTGTTTATTGATCTATTATCTAATAGAAACAATAGGGACGTTACACGTATCACAGTTCCATACACCTATTTGCGCGTGTAGTTTCGTTCAGTCCCTTACATGCTTTGGTTTTGCTCTGTATATCTAAGACTATGTGTATTTACTTGTTGCTAATCGATAGACTAGAATATGTTCGAAATACACGAAATATTGAAAATTCAATTTGTTTGGAATCTATTAAAAATTCTGTCTGAACACTAAGTTTCACAAACTGTTGTCTAAAAAAATTCTATTGCACTTGTGAATACAATGCATTTTTAAAAAGATCAAGTGATAGACCGTATTACATCATTCAACCTTTTAGTCTGACATTTTCATCTATTTGCACAAAACGGGAAGTGCGGGCTGTCCTAATTGCGTGACACGCCCTGTATACACACATATGTATTTATGTTTGTCATCAGTGATGTGATAACAAACAGACTGACTTATACACCTAATATAGTATATGATATAATATAACTACCTGACGTTTACTATCATTGGAGAATAAGATACACTATAAAAATAGTTCACAGGTCAAAAACAATTCAATAGTGGATACCTAAAAACATGAATCGCGGATATTTAACGTAATATTATTATTCAGCACGTGGAATTCGTAACGAGCGACCTGATCAACGAGCGCAATTAATTTCGTATGTTTCAATTTCCGAGGACATTAAGAGTCCAACAATTAGTCCCATCGCTCACATAAATTATAGCAGGGTGATACCCTCCCTGCCCTGTTAGCAAACCGTGAATTATGATTATTCCACTCTAATTTGTAAAACGATGTCTCGACTTCACTCTTGATATTAAAGGTGTTCCCGAGATGTTTGACCAAACTCTACCGCAGTGTTCCATTAATCGTATCGATGGATGACAAACATAGTGATGGTTGTATCTAGGGATCGTAGAGTTATCAGTTCAGGAATTTAGTTTTGTAATTGCACTTTTTAATTGCCTTGTTTTGTTACTGCTATTACCTGCATATTTATTACTATAGTACTTTAAATATTTCTAGATATTAAAAGAAATGTTCAGAATGAACTGATTGAATGAAGTATAAGCTTTATTAAATACCTAATTGTTTAAAATTTAAAGTAGAAATTTCAGGAAATAATGGAAGTAGCTTAGCGACAACCTGACAGTGCCTTACTCCTTGAACTTGAATGAAAATTATTTAAAATTCAATGAACTGTAGTTTATGATAGAACGTAATATATATAAATCGATCTCTCTGGGATTTGGTAGAATAGGATTTATACGTGATTTCCAGAGTGTGGGTGTCGTAATGATACGTAAGTTTCTCTTCCGTTTCCGAACAGATTGCAAATCTAATGACTCAGAGCTGGTGAAGTTCCCGCGCATCGTCAATAACAACGTTTCAATTAGGTACAACTAGATGCAACAAACTACAAAGCAGGAATGACGGAGCAATCGTCTCTTTGATTGTTGAACGAATTCGAAAATTCCTGGCGCACTGCGAATCATGTCACAACCCTCAACAATGCGCACGCGGGGATCTTGTAGATTAGCGACTGTTCTCTGTGCTATGGGATTGCGCAAAATGGATCATTACGTAGAGTAATGCTTGTGGTATGGGAAATTACACAAAGAAGAAAATTCTTGAATCAAAAATAGACGATGTAACGAATGGTCTAATACCGTCCGAGTGTAAAAATTACTTCTATTAGAGTTGTCTCAAAGATTTTAAACAAGTGAAAGCGCATTAAGTTTCAATAATGCACAAAACCATTTTAACACGCCAGATTTATAAGGGTTTAATGACGTAGTGTTCATAGGATAAAGACGGCTAAGTATTTGCAGGCGAGAAGCGACAGGTAGATTAAGGTAGATACATTGCATACTTGACATATCCCCGGATGAAGAAACCTATTCACTTCCAGCATGCAGGTAATTGATCGTCTTCTACCGACCCAACGACCAAGATAACTTCTGTTGAGATAGTTTCAAGCAGAGCAATTAGAATGAGTTACTGTTTGCTTATAAATTGCTATAAGGGGCCATCTGGCGGATAATAATAACTATTTTTATTTTTGTGATAGCTTAATCATTAGTGAACGTAGCCTTTTCTCGTCTAACAATATCATCCACATTATTAATTTTATAGGCATTCAAATAATATTTTCTGTGTTATACAAACACGCAAAATGAATAATAAAACCTTTCACCAGAACTTTACTCTAAAGTTACTTAAACACTTAGTACCTACTTAAAGGAACTGCTTCTTCTTTTCGAAATAATTGCTGTTGGTTCTGAATCCAGTCAGGATTCGAAGCTACTTGTAAGGTGCTTGATCCCATCACTACTGACAATGCGTGGCCGCGGCAACGGCCTTCTGTTGCAAAATAATTAACTTAATCGAAAGGTCGTACGTGACAGGAAAACCCGTTGGAGCCAGCGTTG